CAAACATATGAAGAAATGTTCACAATCACTAGCCATTAAGAGAGATGCAAATCAAAACAACAATGAGATACCATCTTACACCAGCAATATTAGCAAAGATCAAAAAAAATAGAGGACAATAAATGCTGGCGAGGATGTGGAGAGACTGGGATGCTTCTGCATTGCTGGTGGGATTGCAAAATGGTCCGATCTCTCTGGAAAGCAATACGGCGCTTCCTCAGAAGGGTGGAAATAGAAATACCTTTTGATCCAGAAATTCCTCTACTTGGTATTTACCCACAAGAAATATGAGCCATAACACAAGTAGAGAATAATGAGCAAAGATCAGAAAGGCTGTGGGATGACATAAGAATATCATATAAAGAAAGCAAAAAGTTATTTAAAAGACAGAAATGAAAGAAAAGACCGAAACAGATGTCAGAAGAGACTCAAAAAATGTGCTCTCTAGCATAGAGATGCTAAAGTGAATAGAAGAAATGAGCTGAATAGAAAATTTCAAATGGCAGCGCAAGAAGACAAAGTAATGTACTATAATGGAATGTGCAATGACCTGGAGTTAGAAAACCAAAAGGGAAGAACATGCTCAACATTTGTCAAGCTGAGGGAACTGAATCAAAAAAAAAAAAACAAAACAAGTCTTGACTTATAATATTGAAGGACTCCATGGACAAAATACTGAATGATGCAAAAAACATCAAAAGAAGATAGAAGGAATACTCAGAGTCACTGTACCAAAAAGAAATGGTCAGTGTTCAACCATTTCAAGAGGTACATATGATCAAGAGCCTATGGTACTGGAAGAAAAATCTAAGCTACACTGAAGGTATTGTCAAGAAACCAAGGCTCCAGGAATTGACAGGATGCAAACTGAAACCTTTCAACAAAGTGATGAAGAACTAGAGGTGCTCACTCATCTATGCCAGTAAATTTGGGAAACTGCTACCTGGCCAACTGATTGGAAGAGATCCATATTTGTCCCCCTTCCAAAGAGAGGTGACGCAATGAAATGTGAAAATCACTGCCCAATATCATTAATATCACATGCAAGTAAAATTTTGTT